AGAGGGGACATAGAAAGGGAATGGACTGACTATTCTTGGGGGGGAAGGGGTGTGGGGTGAGGGAAGAGATTGGACAATAATCATGCACCTATGGATGAGGACAGTGGGTGGGGAATGAGGGCGGAGGGTGGGGTGGGAACTGGGTGGACGGGAGTTATGGGGGGGAAAAGAGTAACAACTGTAATAATCTGAACAATAAAGATTTAATTAATAAAAAAGGTAATATTCTATCCTATATAATAAAAGGCTAATATGCAAATTGACCAAACTGCGGAACGACCGGTTGCTATTACGTGCACTGACCACCATGGGGCAGCGCTCAACGCAGGAGCTGCCTCGTGGTGGTCAGTGTGCTCCCACAGGGGGAGCACCGCTCAGCCAAAAGCCCTGAGCTGGGCTCACAGCTGGTGGTGGTGGGACCCTCTTCCGAGGGCTCCCATACTGCAAAAGGGCGCAGGCCCGGCTGACGGGACACTCCTCTCCCCGACCCCCCAACCCCCAGTGCATGAATTTCATGCACCGGGCCTCTAATCTATTTTATAAACAAGGATACCAAAGCTCAGAAAGTGACTTGCATAGATCACACAGTTAATAAGAATCAAAACTGGGATTTAACTCTATTTCTTCTTCTAAGTTCTGTTATTATTTAAAATAAACTTTGTATTTTAGAATAATTTTAGATTTACCAAAAAGTTACAAAAATAGTACAGAGTTCCCATATACACCCCCCCTGCCTTGCACACAATTATCCTTTTTATCAACATATTAGATTAGTATGGTTCATTTATCACAATTAATGAACGAAAACTGATATTATTATTATTACCATTATTAACTAAAGTCCATATTTTATTCAGATATTCTTAGTTTTTGCCTAGTGTAGTGTTTTGTTCTAGGATCCCATCTAGCATACCGCATTATATTGTTGTCATATCTCCTTTGGGTGTAGTTGACCATGACAGTTTCTCAGAATTTCTTTGTTTTGATGACCTTGACAGTATTGAGGAGAATGACTGAGGTATTTTGTAGACTGTGCCTCAATTGGGATATGTCTTATGCTTTCCTCATTCTTAGACTGGGGTTATGGGTGTTTGGGAAGACCACACAGATAAAATCTCATTTTCATCATCTATAATAATAAAAGCATAATATGCTAATTAGACTAGAAAGCTGAACAACCTTCCAGATGTCATTCCAGACATCCTTCCAGATGAAGCCATGGTGGTGGGGACCAAGGCAGAAGCAGGGGAAGTCAGGCAAGCAGGCGAGCAGTTAGGGGTGATCAGGCAGGCAGGCAGATTGGTTAGGGGCAATGAGGCAGGCAGATGAGCACTTAGGGGCAATGG